GAAGCGTTCGGTACGGCAGGGCAGGCCGCGGAGCCGCGCGCCCGGGGCAGCAGCTCGCGACAAAGGCCTCGCTCGCGGAAAGGAAAAGCCGAAAAGAGAACAGATACCCCACAGCGGCCCTAATCCTCTCCCTCAGAAAACGCGCGGAGGCCCGCCGAAGCACGCAGCGGTGCGGAGGCCCCGTCCCGCTCTAGGCCGCACAAAGCGGGCAGCGCGGGCAGCTCCCGCGGGCCCGGCCCGCATCCAGGAGGGGCCGCTCGCCCGGCTGCGCACCCACCGCCGCCAGCGCCTCGTCACCGCGACCGGAACAGCGCGGGAGGCAGAAGAACGCACCTGGTGAGCGCCATCTTTGCCAACGCTCACTCGGAGTTAGGCCGCGGGCCGGGGGAGGGACGCGCGCCGCAGACGCGCATGCGCCGCGGCGAGCAGCTGGGAGTTGTAGTCAGGGAGACAGCACGCTGCGGAACGGGCGCGTGCGCGCGCCAACGGCGCAGTGGCTGCTGGGAGGCCCGCGGTGCCCGTGGGGAGGGTGGCGGCTGGCGGGTAGCGCGCGGCGCGGTGCTGCTTTGCGTTGCCTCCAGGCTCCTCGTGGCGCCTCGTGGAGCCGCAGAGCTGGTGAGGCTGCGGGACCCTGTGGGTGCGTGTGGTTCAAGGTCCAGGTGGTATTTGAAGATCTGCAATGAACAGATCCCATTGGGCAGCCTGTGGCGGCGCTCTGCCACACGCACAGTGAGTTAGTGCTCCCCAGTCCTCTGATGGAATCTCCCGTGTCCCAGTTTGTGCGCGCTGCCTGCTGTCCTGCAGCCCGCGTCCAGCCGCCGGAATTTCTAGGAAGGGAAGGCTGGAGGAGGGGTCAGGTGTTCCCATTGCAATCCTGTGCTAAAGCGCGCCTTGTCTCCGCTGGGACTTGGGTTTGGCGTTTGTGCTTTGGTGGCAGCAGCTCTGTCATCGTCTCTGAGTGACAGAGATGTCGCCTTCTCTCCAGGACAGCGGGCCTCTCAGGAGTTCTTCAGACAAAGCTGAGCATATGAGACTGTGACGTATATCATTTATCAGTAATTGTCACGAGCAAAGCTCACCTGCCATCTCTCCTACCCTTGCCTGTCAGTCATTTAGCAGCAGAGTTGCTGTTGTCTGACAGTTCTGGTCCTGGTCAGAAGCCCTTTGCCTGTTTCTGTCTGGAGTTGAGGAATGACTTATTCTCCCTCCTGCGTTCCTGATTCTTCCTGTGCATCATCTACCACTGTGTGGTAAATACACAGCTTTGGGATCTATTGCAGCCAACCTGTAAGGCAGACACAAACTAAAATAGAACGTGGGCAGTGTGCTGCTGCTTCTTTACTGGTTTCCTCAGTCTCACAGCTGCATGGTTGCCCTCTCCATGCAGACAGTAGGCTGTTTGTGTTTGCAGATCTTTATAGCTGCCTTGGCTATAAGCAGGAGCAGTTCTTTTTTCAATACTTTATTTCACCTGAACCCGCTTCTTTTTGTGGTTTGCTTTTAATGTGCAAATTGGTTGATGTAGAGTTTACGTGTATGTAGGGTTCATAGCACAGTGTAGACCGGACTGTATGGTATGATGAGGCTGTATGGGCTTATTCAAAATCCCATGGCTCTGTAAGCTCATCTCTGTCTGTATTTTAGGCACGTGCTGCTAATTCAGCTGTGGATAACTTCTTGTCCCTGCACTGCATTACCTGTTGCATGTCAAAACTAGAAAATGCTGATGTAAATGGTTTAACTGGACAAAAATGTTTACTGAAATATATTTCTTTGAGAAATTATGAAGTCGATGTAGAAAGTTTGGAAAATTTGAATATTTTCCAAATGGAACTTTCAAGCTTTGGTTTAAAGCAGCGTTTGTTGGGAGCAGGTAAATTCTTAAAACCAGCATGTTTACTTTAAGATCCAATACCACATCATGCAAACTTTTATATCAGGAGTGGAGGTTAAGTACAGAATGTGTTGTCCCTGGAAACAGGAAATCAGAGAGATTCAAATGAGAAATTAGGCAGAAACACTTAACAAAGAGAATGATTAAGCTTTGGAAAACTGTGAAAAGTGTTCGTTTAGGTTTTTATTCCTTGTTACCTTCTAATCAAAGCTGAAAGCATTCTGGGAAGAGATGCTGTCAGTATTAGAAGACTCCTTCGGGCAAACCTGGGGTGCGTGGGTCTGTACATGAAAGACCAGGTGAAGCATCATGTCCCACAGTATACACAGCGTCAGACAAGAAAAGTTACTATTCTCTCCCAGCTCTGTGAGCTGATCATTTCCATGCATCTTCATGTATCCTCTAGTTCTGGGCTTTGTGTGCACCAGACTTATTTATGATTAGAGATGCCAGCTCTGGCTGATAAAATTCTTTGATAAAAAGAAACATTAAGCAAGAAATGGATCTGAGATTCTTAAACCCTTTTTTTCCCAAGTATACGTATCCGTAGGAAAGAAAGATTAATTCATTTCTGTTTTACCATGCTCTTTTTTGCTTAGCATTTCTGGGCAGGAACGCTATCAGACTCACACGTGCATCAATTTCCACAAGTACGCCAAAATAATCTTCTGTGTGGTGAGTAAAGTATTCAGGCACTTCATCCTTGGCTTGGCTGTCAGTGGGGACATTTTTAGTTCCATGTGAATACCACAGCTGGTTTTGAGAGCACTTCCTCCAGTGTGTATTTCTGGTGCATTCCAAGGAGTCTTTTGGGGTAGATTTAGGCTGTTAAATCCTCTCCATCATTTTTTATCTACTTCAGCACTTTCCACATTTGCAAATGCAGAATTAAATGGCTCATGAAATATCTTGTAACAAATGAAGATGACAATACAAAGTAATGTAATAAGCTATTGCTAATGTCAGATACCTGTATGCCTAATAGTCACTGTGCATTGTGGAATAAAAATGATCAAAATAAATGACACTTCTTAACTCAAGGGATAAATTATGCCACAGGTAAGATGCTAAACAGTGAAAAAGAAGAGATTTATCTAGATGGAAAAGTTCAGCAACATCAGCAACCCCTGCTCTTCTTTGGGATTACAGGCAGTATTCAGAAGGAATAATTATAGCTGGGGGAAAAAGCTCAGGTCTATTTAGATTAGCGCTTTTGGAGGAATCTTTAAATTCTTCAAGCTGTGTCTGTATTATCTGGAATGACTTAAAGGGAGACTGGTTTAATTTCTAATATTCGTTATAATTTTTAGAAGATTAAAATTTTGCAGATGGGCAAAAATCATCTCAGATGCTTCTGAGGTGATAGTAACCTTTCTGTTACTATGGTTCTGTAAACATGGTTATGCATTCCACTCACAGCTAATAAATATCCTCTTTGGACAGGGGATGTGGTGGCCTGTTGAAACTTCCCCGCATCTTTAGAAAGCAGAGTCAAAGGAATTTTTTTGCCAGCAGAAATTATAAGAGAGGGGTATGGAGGTGGAGTGCAGTTGTCTAAACTGACATCGGGCAACAGTGTTGAGCAAAGGCTTTGATTCTTGCAGAGAGGGATAAAAAAGTAGTACAAGTGGATTTTGCAGCTCATATAAAGCACTGCTCTCCAAGCAGCACAGATGCTGGTGATACTTTCCATATAGCTTTCTGTATTTTTCATCACAGGAAATTTAAAAAAGAGGTTGATTCTCAGCAATGAAGGCTGGTCCTCTGCTCAGGCAATCTGATTGCTCTTCCCACTCCAGTGCTTGGACAGTGAGGCCCGAGGCTTTGTGTATGGTTCAGCATTTCATAAGATGCACACCTGGGAGGTAAAAAAAAGAAAACACTATTCACTTTTCGTTTTCCACAGCAATTTGGGGTAATCTGAGATTTAATTTATTCACCAGTTGAAAGGGAAGCGGAAATCAAGCCATCATCTTTCTTTTGAACCAAGCTCTTTCTTGAGTACCCTGTGGAGGCTCGCACAAAAGAGCTCTGATCATTCTAACTAGGTGCTTGTTCTAATTATAGAAAGATTGAGCATTGCTTACAAAATTGCCCACTGCACTTCAGCACATGGCATTGTTATACTACAAAAGCTTTTTTTTTTTTTTGGCCCCAGCAGACCCAGCATCAGCCTGTTTAATGGAGAGCTGCAAGGAACAGAATTAATATGAAGAAACCTCACACAGATTTTCCAGGAGAGGCTGGCAAAGTCGGGTGCTGACCTGCTCCCTTTGTTGCGAATGCGGCCGATGCCTGTGTTGTAGCAGTCAGAGCGGGGCTTGGGCTGGGCCGTGTTCTTGAACATCCTGGGTAGAACCAGCAAGCTGTGATCAGGAATCAGAGGTAGTGCTGGGGACACAGCCCCTGTTTTGGATCTCTTTGATACAGTAGGGTGATAGCTTCTAAATGGATACTTCACTGCTATGCCCAGTATCAGCCCCAGCCGTGGAGGTGGTGAATGTGCTAACACAAACATTGTAGTTCTGCTTTCCTAAGTTGTGGATGCTTTGTTTCTTAGGAGAATGTTTGCTGGTAAGACCACGTTGTGCAGGCATTTATGTCCATGGGGATGGGAAAGAAAAAGAAAAAACCTCATAGGAACAGCAAATACCCTCAGTATTGTTGGGATCTTTTAGGGAAGTCTTTAGTCTAGCATTGTCTCACAGCCAGGGTACAGATGGGCAGGTTGCCTTCGTCATGGACGAGAGCTGGGCATCAAGGTATGTCCTTGAGCATCGTGGTCAATTACTCCTTCCTCAATAAACTAGCATCTTTTGCTTTGTAATTGCCGTGTTCCTAAATCCCTCTTTACTCCCGGCTGCCTTTGTGTGCAACTGTATCCACGCAAATACGAACGCAGCGCGGAGGCACATTACTGAATTTCCATCGTCGATTCCAGAATCCCGTTGGAGACAATAAGTCAAAGAATTATCGCGCTCCCGCTCCGCGCGCGTTGGGCCCCTTCCCTCCAACTCCCTTCGGGCGGCCTCGCCCCGGAGCTGGGAACTACCCGTCCCGGCATGCCGCGCGGGGAGCGCCGCGCCATGTGCCAGGCGCGGGGGGAGCGGGCGCCGGGTGCTGCGGAGCCGGCGGGGCGGTAAGTGCGCGCTGCCTGTTGCGGGCGGCCGAGCGGGAGGAGCGGCGGGGCCGTTCTACGCGCCCCTCGGCGGAGCTTCTCCCGCTCGGTCGCCCGCCGGGCCCCCTCAGTGCCAGGCCCGGCAGCTCGGGGTTGGTTGTGGGCCTGTAGGACGCGAGCGGATGTTCTTTTGGAAACAGCGACCCGTGTCGCTGCATGCGTGTTTTGGTTACTAGGCTTCTGAGAGAAAAGGCACGAGCCGGTGACCCTGCTAAAGGGGCACAGTGAGAAGCAGGAAACTTTCTGGAATGAAGGCAGTTAGCGCGGTCCTTCTCCACGGGGTAAAAATCCTGCACTCTGTCAAAGGTTCTCTTGAGAGTTTGCAGAGTGAGGCAGCCATCCGTGCTGCTTGATTCATGGTGTAAGCAGAAAGACCGCTCAGTTGTGTTTTCTGTCTGACTAATAAGAGGAAGGAGAGGAAAATACCGGCGATCCATAGTTTTTCTTTCAGGTTTAAATCCTATAAAGTGACAGAATGAGACAAAAAAATGTAATATTTTTAATGAACAACATGCTTACACTGCCTTGCACACCGTAAGTAAGGAATACAGTGCTGCAGAGTGGTTAGTGTGGTTGACAACTTTGTCTCTGCCCACATCTGCCAGAGGAAGGGGGTTGAGGAAAAAAGTGATGCGCTCGAGGCCCACCCTGGTTGGCTGTTGAGCCAGGCCTGGGCTGTTGGTACCTGCATCTGTCTGTTCTGCCAGTGCATTCCTAACCTGGCATTTGGATGAGCTGATGAGAAAGCAAGTTTCACTCACTTGGTGACTGATCAGGACCCCATCCCCTGTGTTGGATGCAGCTATCTGGAGCCACCAGCAGGGATGCATCACGTCTTCTTTCCAGTGTTCATCAATACTGAGGAGCTTTCACAAGCAGCCTAGCAGTTTCCAATCAGTTTTGGGCTCTCTTAATATTGTTAGAACTTTCTTTAAACTCTGCTTTTTAAATTCTTCTAGTACACCCTTATAATTTCACTATGCTGTCATACCTTCAAAACATTTGCAATAGGGAGGCAGCCTATTCCTGTAATAAAGAACCGACTTCTGATGAGCATATGCTGCCTTTTCTCTGTCCACCTGTTGTTTCTTGTTGTAAAATGATTGGGACCACGAATAAATCTTTTTGTGGTGGATATGCAAAGTCTAGACCACTTCTGGGTTAGTGGTCTGTAGGCACTGTAGAGTTAGAAAAAACAATGAAGTTAGAGCAGAGCAGCTTGCATTTGGCTGCTGTATAGTTGCACAAGCTCTTAGCTAGGGGCAGTGCTAGCAGCACATCATTAGCAAAGGAGCAATTAAAACTTGGATAATCAGATCCCTCCAGGCATTACTGTGTCTTTCTCTGATGTAACTGTTGCTGTTTTGTGTCTCAGCAGGGTTCACCAGTCATGGCAAGAAGGGCCTTGAAACTTGCCTCGCTGGCAGCAGCTGCTTCTGGCATCTATCTGTATGGCAACAAGTTCGTGGATCCCAATGATTTTGGAGTTGTTCGTGTGGGCCGAGCCATTGCCACAGTAAGTTTCATAGTACAGAAAGATTCCTAGAGGGGTTTCAGAGATTTGGAGTTCACAAATACTTGTGATTCTGTACAGACCTTCTCTTTCAGTTGCTAACTAGCTCCCAGGTGTCAACAGGTCAGCTGGAAGCTCCTCAAGTTGTTGACACAGTGCTGTTGACACTGTCTGATGTTTTTTGTTTTTAGTTTAAACGCTGCCAAACCTAAAAACGTTCTTGAGTTTCACATTGCATGCTTTCAGTAGAGTTACAAGTTGTGGCCCTTTGCTGGCCTTGCTTTTAAATCCATTTGAGGGTTCTGCATCCATTGCTGCTAGAAGTGACCTCCCCAAAGTACTGTCAGTGCTCTGGTGGCAGAATGTGTTTATGTCTGTGTCTGTATATTGTTCAAACAAGAATTTTCTGTTTCTTTTGGAATCCTGTTGCTTTAATATATGGGACTGTATATGGTCAGATTTGTCTTGAGAGATTCTTCATTTCTGCTGCATCAGTGATCTCTACCTTTCCACTTTGAGATCTGCTCAGGGATCTGCTCTAATCTGAACAGTGCAGACTGGTCTGATTTCTGGACCACAAAGAGGCTGAATCTACCAGAGTATATGGGAACTGCTGGCTCATGGCCTGAACCTCTGATTGATCACCTGAGGCGAGCAATGAGTCAGCCACAGCTGAAGGCAATTCACCTGTGCTGCAGGAAGGGGTGGAGCCTGGCTGCACCCCTCCTAGACCTGCTTAAGAGCTGGCTGCCAGTGGGGAAGGATTTTTTCTGGAGATTGCCTCTGCTGGTGTTTTGTGGGTGAGCCCAGGATAGGGGTAAGCCTTCTATTTATTCTCTTTTTTTATCATAGTCTACTTTGCCTAGCTCTTATTTATTTTGTGATTATAACATTCTATTATTCTTTGATTATACACAGAGTAATTATTCATGTTCATTTCCTGGCCTTGCTCATTTTGTAAATGAAAACTGAGGTTCTGTAGCAAGCAACTTTGGATACTGGTGGAATCTATGTGGACCTAACCTGTATATCCTTTGATCTAAGTCTGGCCAGGTTTCTTAATCATTGGAGCATATCCAACCAAAAGCAGGCTGTATTTGAAAGGCTGTAATTCATAGAATAATAGAATAGCTTAAGTTGGAAGGGGCTTTAAGAACCATCCAGTTCCAGATTCCTGTTGTGGTCAGTGTCGTCAGCCACTAGGTCAGGCTGCCAAGGGCTCCATCCAGCCTGGCCTTGAATCCCTCCAGGGATGGGGCATTCACACCGGCCTCTGAGTAAGGAATTTTTTCCTCACAGCTAACCTAAATCTCCCTTCTAGTAGTTTTGAGCCATTCCCCCTGGTCTTGTCACTGTCAGATATTATAAAAAGTCCTTCCTTACGTATAGGCTTTCCTTGAGTACTGTAAAGCTTCTGTGAGATCTTCCTGGAGCCTTCTCCAAGCTGAACAAGCTCAGCTCTTAATCTTTTCTCATCAAAAAGGTGCTGCAGCCTTCTGTGTATTTTTATGGCTTCCTGTGGACCTACTGAAACAACTCTGCATCATTCTTGAGGTGGAGGCCCCAGACTTGGACACAGAGCTCCAGATGGGATCTCACAAGGGCAAAGTAGATGGGGATAGCAACCTCCCTGATAATTAAGAAGTGAGTTTTGCAGCAGCAGATGCAAAAATCTAAGATAAGGTATGGTGAAACAACAACAACAAAAAAATTCTAGGAGAAAGGATATGTGGTTAGGAAAGCTGGGTTAGAACTATAAAACTTCAGACAAATTTCATTTGAGATGGATTAGAAAGATTTGAATCTGCTTGTACTTAATGCATAGTGGTTCTGTAGTCCTTTGCTGATCTTCATCAGAAAGTTGATGAAGTTCCCAGTTGCTGAGAGATCTGGCTTTTGTTTATATGTGGAAACATATACTTACAACTGAGGGAACATTGTACCATGATTTGGGGAGATCTGAGGATGGTTTTAGGAGTGGTGGGAAGAGCATAAGGAATTGAGGGTCAGTAGAATCAAAAGGAAGGCCAAGCCTTTGGGACATTGAACGCTGCACTGGATACATCAGTTAAAGAAAGTAATCTGGCATTGGAGAAGGGAGGAACCAGTTGATCTTGTAGGTCTTTTTATGTCTCTGAGATTCAGTCTCACTCTGTAATGTGAACTATTCTTGGTTGAGAATGAATTTGGTAGCCTGGACAGCATCATGTTTCAGAGTTTTCTGTGTTCTGATGAAGTCAGAAGCCTGGCGGAGCGTTGCGCATTTGCCATATTTCTTTGAGGGTAGCCCAAGTTGTTTTGAGTATGTGAAATGAGCACTGTGCTGTAGCTGGAATATTTCTCACATAGTAACAGGGATTTGGCAATGTCAGTGTTGCCTATCAGGATCATCGTAATACTAATTTAGTGTTTAAGATTATGATGTAATTAGCAAATAGTTAATTAATTCCCTTGTCCTCAGTAATACAGGCCAATCTGTTAGCTGCTTCTCTTCAAGTTGGAGGTGATAATTACCCTCACAGACTAGAGATAAAATACAAACCAACTCAAGCATTCATGCAAGACTGATTTGAACATCCTTTCACTTCACAGTTGTTGCTTGAGGTTGGAAAGATACTTTGAAAAATTTTTCTTTTGAGTGTGTGTCTGTGTAGCTGTGCACCTTCTGAATTCATCAGGGGCAAGAGAGCCTGAAAAACCAGAAAAAAAAACTTGGTTTGCTCAGTTTCTAGTCTGGAAAACAGGAAACTTAAACTCCACAAGGAAAAAATACATCTATTTATATCTCATTCCTAGCTGGATTTCCTCATGGATGCATCTCTGAGCCTTTGACTGTTGCTTTGTTGACTTCAGTCACTTTGTTTTGAAACAGATAGAATCTCCCTTTCTGCCTGACTCTTCTGATCCTCTGATTGTGCTTCAGGTGTTTCATCTGTGCCTTTCCTAAGCACATGTGCAGTGTAAAAAGGCCAGGAATCCCATTCCACAGTGAGATGCTACCCCTTTGCTAGGGAGGTTTTAGGAAAGCTTTAGATCTGTTTCATGCGAATGGTTCTTTACGGCAAGGATCTTAAAGTTTAAGTGATGTTCCTTTCTCTCCCTCCAAGTAAATTTTGAGGGCATGAGCTGTGTTTTTATGTTCCATTTGCTGGCCTGACTGTGGAAAGAGAGGAACTTCAGTTAAAGGTTAAAACTGTGAAATACCCAATATTCATTTTCAGAAATTAAGGCATTTAGAAATCTCATTTTATTGTCTGTGGCTATGTCTAGCTAATAAGCTTTAGCTGGTTCTCCATATTGTACTTTTGTAATTGGGTATCTGACCCTTTTGCCCTCTAGTCCTTCATGAAGTTGAGTATCCCTGCCAGTACTACTGCCTGTGGTTATCAGTGAGCCTGTGTAGCCACTCTGTTTCCCTGCTGAGCCTTCTTTCTAGACCGAGCTCCCTATGTACCGGTGTGCAGTTAGACAAGCTGGAGGTGTGAAGATCAGGAATAGGATAATGGGTGGGGCACAAACAAGGCTTCTGTAGCATTACTAGCTGCTGACCTTATTGTGGAAACCCCAGATGGCTGGCTAAAATCTGAGCTCACGGTGCAAGGTGCAGTACAGAGATTATGAAAGTGCTTAGAGCTTCCCAAAAGGAAGATAGCCAATGTTTGGCATTTCCATACTATTTTTAATAGCTGCATGCCACTGAGATCCCTGCACTGCTTTCTCTAAATGTTTAATGCTTTTTTTTGTTTCTACAGTTTATTACTGTGAACTCTACTGTAGAGCTTAAACTTTGTAGCCTGAACTACATACATCCTCCTAAACAGATGGTTTGTTGTTTTTCAGTCCAAGATAACTGCAGAGCTTGATCAACTTTTCTGTTTTTGTTTGCAGACGGCAGTTATCACCTATGACTACCTCACCTCCCTTCGCAATGTCCCATATGGATCAGAGGAATATGACTTCCTCAAATCACAGGTAGGTTATACTACTGGTTGTGTTCCTCGGAAGCTCTTTGAGGCACAGATGTGTTGCCAAAGCCATTACCATAAAACAAGCTATCAAGCTGTCAGCTTAATGATTCAACATAACTTCTACCAAACTGTTGATAACTGCAGAGGCAAACTGTGGAGCATTCTGGATAAGAATTGGGCAATACCTGCATTGCTGAATGGAGAAGTTCCTTTGTCAAGAGGAGGCACATGCAACCACTGCTTGCTTATGCCTGTTGGAGATTCAGGTTCTTATTGTATGGGGTAAGATGTGTTTGGGCCCTGTTACCAGATCCCTGCTGTCTGGAGTGGTTGTGTGGAGGTCAGGAGCAGAGAATGGTCTGGCAGTGGTTTCTTATACTGTTTATCCAAGCATATAATGCTTGAAGGCTGAGACTTTTAAGTAAAAGCAGAGTTTTGGACAGGAAATAATAAGGATGAATTAGGCCATTCAGTCTTTCAAGAAATCAGAGGTAATTGGGCAATGATATATTTCACTAAGACTCTATTTTGTTGTGTTTTGATATAGCTAACTAATGTGAATAGAAAATGCACTTCTAGTGAGAAATATAAGAATCCCTGTTGCTCCTCTGAGATCTGTGCTGCACCTTTCACTCTATCCTGCAGCTATACAGTATCTTGATCTGTGACTGCTGCTAAGTTTTACTTCTGTTTGTACACTGTAGCCACTGTCTCTCTTCTATTCAAGCTGAGGGCTGAGTTGGAGTGAGAAATATGGTCTATGCCAAATTAGACAAGTCTGTGCAATACTTTTAAAATAAGATATTTAACTTTTTTCTTCTTAGTATGTACAAAATGTAGGTAACTGATGTGGTTGAAATGCATGGGGTAGTGCTCTCTAGGGACTCTCAGACCAGAGGAGCTCTAAAGCTGGACACAGCAGTAGGCCTTGTGGTTGAGCATTGGGCTCCATTTCCTGCATCATACCATGGTGTGTGTCAGCCATACTGGTTCAAACCTCATCCAAAATTAGAAATCAATGGCATTTGGACTTAAGCATGCTTTGGGTTCTTCTGGCAGAAAACTGACACCAACAGCATGGTCTTAAAGAGTATTTAGGATAGTTTACAGAGCAGTTTCTCTAGCCTTGTTCTCATCCTCTCCTATGTAAAGATGTTAAGCAGTTCTGTTACAGTGCTTCATCCTAAGTGAGTGGCACTGATACCCTGACATAAACTAGGGATGGGCTTGTTGGACTCCTGAGCTTTGCTTTCCACCTGCCCATGTTTCTGCTGTTTGCCTTTGAAGCCTGGTTTGCAGAAGGACTGCTTGTAGCTTTCTTGGGCAACAACCAAGTTATGGAGTCATCAGTACTGTGGACAACTCGTTATTTGGCAGCTTTTTGTAGCAGCCCTTGCAAATTCCTGACCTTTTGCTGTATGTGTCCATGACTTCATTAACCTCTGTCATGCAGGCTTCAGTGGTTTGTCAATTCATACCTTTGCAGCCGGTCCAGGCCCTGTTTGCTGGTGCTGCTCAGAGCTGTGCTCTCCTTGTGAGGCAGCCAAGACTAGCCGAGTCAGCATCTGTCTGTGGCAGAGTGGCGTGGCCAGCGCTAGCCTTTGGCTGTGTGAAGAGGAATGATTGGGGAGATGGAGAGGAGAGAGTAAATGCAGACATAGTGTGAATTGGCAAAATTCTTTGACCTGTGAAGGTCTGTCCTCCTGTTGGCAAATGTTTTAAAAAAAAAAAAAAAAGTTTGTTGGTCTAGAACCAGCTCTGAAGAGGGTGATACTTAAGAAGTTGATTCTAAAGGTTAGGCACTGGATGAGACTAAGAGAATATGAATCCTCCTCCCAAGTGTTCTGTGTGAAGGATAGTTATCCAGATGCTTTGTACTTGTACTTGCCTCTGTTCTTGATAGATCTTTGGTGCTCTTGGCCATGAATTGCATTCTTCTGCCTTTCTGTCCTTCCAGTGAAGCCAGGTGAACTTCCTCTCCATATACTGAGTTTGGACTTTCCTTTTAAACATGTGTATGAGTTGGTTACTGATTTCCAGCTTCTATTTTTTTTTTCTGTGCTGTGCTTAGAGCAGAGTTTCTATGAGGTTTGGGTTTAGTGACACTAGGGCTGTGTATAGTACCAGCAGGTCCAGGTGCAGCTACTGTGCCTCTCCTTCTGGAGATAGGATGCATGCAGCTGCATTCATGTCTGAGATGGGGATATATCTTGTGAATCAAAAAGGGCTACTTTTGGTGTAGCTTGTCCTGGTACTCAGTATACTGGTGGGTGCTGCTTGAATGCAAATAGTACTTAACTCTCTTCAGATCCTCTGTCAACCATTAAACTGGGGCCTCTAAATTACCCACAGGGTAATTTAGATGGGAGATGAGAAGCTTTGGTGGCAGCACCACCAGTGCCTAAGCCTGTTGGGGTGAAACGGGCATAGTCATTAGGAAGCAATTAAATGCAAATCAGATTAAGAAGGAAGTGGGTTCCTCAAGGGCTTTTAGCCAGGTTCCTGCTTAGCTCCAAGGAAACCTCTTCAATCTTACTCTATTTTTCTGTCCCTCATGGGCCACTTTGATGCTAATGTTCTCAGCTAGTCAGTTCTAAGCATCTTTTTATGGTCAGTAGATTGGTGAAGTATTTGCTACTTTCTACAGGGCAAGAAGCAGTAGCTGGAATTTCATTGTGTGTCCCTGGGGTTGGTTTTATCATTTGTACATCTGTGTGTTTCCTAGCAGCCACAAGATGTGAGGAGCCGCCTTTCTGAAGGCACTCATAGACCTTCTTCAACAGTAGTGAAAAGAAGCCTTAACTTTTTCATTGCTGCTGCTTTCTGTAGCAGGGATGAATCTACTCGAAGTCAGACCATAGCAATGTCCATAACATTGCTTCCTTCACCTCATCGCTGATGTCTGGACATACTGAGATAAAGTTCTTTTCTGGCATGTTCTTCTTCTGCTTGTGAGGATATTGCTAGGATACTGATATCAGGGCCAGTGGTAGCCAGAGTTAGACTCAAGATGTGGGATGTCTGTAGGTCTAGTGTCAGAAAGATTTTGGGAAGGTACAAGCTTTCTTCAGTACTTGCCTTTTTTTATTAAATGGTTCCAACCATTTTTGCACGTATGAGCTTGGACATTTCTTTCTGTTCCTGCCTCTGGTTGTACGGAGAATCAGAGGAATCATGAGGGTATGGTGCCCTTTCCCAGATGGATTGTTTCTTATGTATTCCTTTCTCAATAAACGATTCTATTATGTGAAGGGCTACATTTCTTTGATATCCCCCTGCCTCCTTGAACAGTTGTTTCCCCAGTCCTGAGTCAGCCTACCCTTTGACATTTCCATTGTTCCTCTCATCATAGCACCTGGATGCCTCGTTTGACACTTCCTATATTGCTAGCGTCAATTTCTGTTGATCCTGCTGTCAGGAGGTATCTCATGACACGTTTGTTTAAGAACTGGTGTCAGTGGACTTCAAAGTTATCATCATCAGAGTAAAAGAATTGCAGTGGGTTGTTCAGCTTGCAAATTTCTACACTAGTGATCATAGCTAAAAATCTTGAGCAGGGCATTTATTTTGTCATTTTACTATGTAAGGCAGAAGTTACTGCTGCAATTGTGGATACAGATATATATATATATATAATTTTTTTTTAACAGAGAGGAGGTAGCAAGGAGAGAGAGGATCTTTGGTCAAGGTGTCTCTGGAGACAGTAAGAATCCATTCTTGAATTAACTTTGGCAATAGAGTTGCTTTGTCAGGGAAAAGCCATTTGGGGAGGTTAATTAACTTCCTCCTTTAGAGAACAAAATGTGGATGTTCTCATTCAGGCTCTTGGTTATTGGGCTTTCAGTATCTGGACAAATATTTTGAAGGTGTAACCTTATGACCTTGTGCCATCATTTAAACAGAATAGTATTTCTTGTTCCTTCAGTTATTATGGTCGTATGTCATGTTTGTTTCTCATGGTGAGGTGAGTATTTTGGGGGGGGGGGGGGGGAAGTCTTAGAGTGATGTTGCCTGACTGAGGGACCCTACCACCCAGGTAAGAAAACAAATGAATGTACCTGTGTATGTTTGGCTATTTTTTTAATATCATACAATTCCTGATAGCTCAGATAGCCTGTATCTGTGGCCTTCCACCATGATCTAGTAATACTGTGTGTCTTTATAGGAAGAAATATACTAAAATAGTTTCTTCACATTGTATCTAGACTGTGCCTGCAGAGAGATGCCTGGGAGGTCTCCACGGCAATCCTGCAAACTGACGGCTCTGTGTGGGGACCAGGGCTTGTTCTCCACCACAGTTGGTGCATGCACTGGTGGTTCTCTTTGCCTTCAAACTGAGTTGGAAAGGCTGAGAACAATGAAATTCCATAAGAGACATGGAGTAGCTGTTAGGTAGTAGTGACTTTCTGTCACTGAGCTAAATGGGAAACCAGTAAGGGGGATAAAGAACTCCACAGCTTGTCTGCGGTACCTGAGCTGATAATGTTAGGCTGCCCCGTGCTTGTTCTCCCAAGGATTTATCTTCATCTAAATGGAATGATGGACAGTAATGCAGCCTAAAAAAAAAGCTACTAGCAGAACCAGCTGTTGCCTTGATGACTCTCCACTTCCAAGTGTCCTGTCTAGCAAACTTTTTGCCAACATGTAAAGCATGAAAGCTTTGCACCAGAAACACATAACACATAGCACAAGCTGTAAAATAGATCTTAAAATTTTAAGACACTTCCTTTTCCTTCTCCTGTTTTCTAGAGTACAGTCAGCTGAATGTTACGGTCACAGCATCTCTAGGTTTTAATTTTGTAGTGCAGAAGGTCCATTTTAGGATGAGTGCCTACAAAGCAGGAAGTCCTTCAATTCTCTGCACAGGTTTATTTAGAGAAATAGGCCATCTCACTGTGGTGTTTCTGGAGGAGAAGGAAGGAGAGAAGTGAGGGGAAATGATACCTAAATCATTGCACTTTTCTTGCTGGCTCAGCACTCTCATCCCTGAAATGCCTCACAAGG